AAATTAACAAAAAAAATTATTAATTTTGTAGATCAAGTATACTTGATTTTTATTTTCTGTACAGAAATTATGCATGTACACAGTCTTCCAGCCAGTCATCATGGGGCAATTAATTCCAAATATTAGCAATTCAAATAGAGCAGGGTTTTTTTACTATTTTTTAAGTTTCTAACTTCCCTGAGAAAATTGCAGAATTTCATATCCTACCAGCTAAGTATTACAATAATATATGGGAAATCATGAAGTCTTTTAGTCTTTCCATGTTTAGTTTATCCCACCATTTTGAGAAACATCTGCATCAGCGGTATTAAAAGCATACTTTTATAAAATTGTCTGTTCATTCTATTTCCACATTCTGATTATTATCAAAAGCAAGAGAATTGTAGAAAATATCTCTAGCCTTAAGGCTAGAGCACTGATAAAACTGATGTGTATCAAAGCCTTTGAGACTCTTCTCATTTATTTCAGCAGACTCTATTTGAAGAACTGTATCCAGAAGGATCTATGTATCTCTGAGTGACAATCCTTGTCACAACAAGGTTACAGCAGATAACTGACTGCAATTCTCATTTGTAATGAGTAAGCGAGGGAAGATTAGTCATTCTGGCTTTTACCATCCATCTTTACAGAAGATACTAGTAGAAAGAAACGTTATCATGAACACACAAACCCCACATATGTTATTGCAGCTGCACAAATAAATATCAGTATTAAATACCCTTGCATTTCTACCATGAGATAATCAGTCTCAACAGAAATGATCTTCGTGTAGCTACATTGTAGGAAAGGACAATTTTTCAATAGTTAATTGAAATTTAACTCTTAGTTTTGTAAGAAATTTTATGGAAAACGAGCTGTTTTGTGAGTGGGGGAGCTGCATTTCCAACAGATTTGTGACTTATCACTTTCCTCCCATTTAAAGGAAATAAATATCTCAGGTCACCTTCTGATGCTTGTTGTCACCTTTTCTAAACTTCATCCCAGGATCCTCTGCTTCCTCTCCCATTCCTTATTTATCTTTCCCTGAGCTGTGCTGAGATTGGGTTAGAAATATTCACAGTGGGTAGGCATGAGGCTCTTAATCAGCTGGCTGATATCTGAATGAAAATTACTTTTCTTTCCTATCTCTCGGTAGATCAGGAACAGGATCCTGCTGAGATCTTACCCCCTTTGTCAGATTTGACTCAAATTGGCTAATATATAAAAAAATTATTAGAGAGGAATAGACATATGATCATAGAAGGTGAATCATGTCTCATTCTTCCCCTTTCCACTCCAAACCCAGAGAATGAATGTCGGCCACAAAAGGCATCTCTGTATTGGCTCACAATAACTTAGATCAGAGAAACAAACACCGTGCTAGACAAACAGGCTGCAAAGCTCTTGCAAAACTAATGCCCTTCAGCACAGCAATATTTTAGCTGACATGTACGACAGTTGCACACACACTGCTGTATTTCCAAAGCTAACCTTGGTAAATTTGACTTGTACTGGAAGACAGGGAGTATTTTTTCTTTGAAACTGGACCCTATAAAGAACAGTGTGGAGTTATTTTGGCGTGTGGGCACCACAAGCATTACCATCAAATACAAGCAACTGAGTCAGGGCTGATCCCCCTCGAGCAGGGTCTTCCTCATAGTTTGCTGTATGGATATATTAAATTGTGTCTGTTACTGAGAATTTGCTAGTACAAAGTAAGTACTAGAAATTTCCAATTACCTTTTATTTTCTCTATTAAAGGAAACACCAAAAATATCTGTCTCTTTTTTTTCTGTTCACTGTGCTTCAGTGGTTGTGGGAAAGATGCAGATGCTACAGGCAAGTTGCATTTTTGTTGCAGTGTAGAAAAAAATCTAGGAAGTAGAATGTTAACCATCTTCTCAAAAATGGTGAGAAAGGGATAATTTTGCTTTCTCTTGGTACATTTTCATATTTTTTGAGAATCTTTCTTCCTTAAAAGGCTAACCTGAGAATTTAGGGCAGTATTCAAGATAACCTTTAAGTAAAGGACATGGAAAGTATTCACATCTTAACTTCACCCACACAAATTCATTGCTTTACATTTTTGAAGCTCACCTATGAATCTCCTAAGCCAGAAAGTTAAAAACCTGTCATAAGTATCCCAGATAATTTTCAGTCAAACCTGAAATGCTGTAGCTTCAATCAAACAGCAAGCGAAGCATAATGACTCAGACTTAGACTAGCTTTATCTCACAACAATAAATAATAAAAAATCCCAGGGAGATGGCTTATTTCTGAGGATCTTGATCAACTGCTTGGAAAGTAACGTGGTCATATCCCTTCCCTGCCACATTCATGTCCTTTCCCTGTCACAGACATTCTGTAGGACGTTATATGGAAAATAAACCAGCCTGAACTTTCCCAGGTACCATTAGCATTCCTTTGTTTTAAATGAGTGTTGCAAGTGTAAATCTATTAAAGATGACCGGTGCATCTGTAGATCAGGATTGAGAACCAGGTGCAGTCATATGCAGAAATAGAATAATGAGAGATATGAAGTTTTTACCTCCCTAGGATCTTACTTGTCAATGGTGGCTGTCACTTGGATGCCATGAGTTGTGGTGGAAGGTGACTGACAGCTGAATAAGGTGACATATTCAGGTAGGGAACTAGAAAAACTAATCTAGTTAGTTTTGAGGTAAAGGTGTCTGGCCTAATGTGTTTTACTGCAGATTCTGAAAAATAATTTTGACAATGCCTCACTTTATTTCCTGGAGGTGGGAGGACAGCTCAGGACAAACATACAGGGAGAAGGACCATTCTTCCCATCAGCACTGGCAGGCATTAAGGTGCCCTAATTGCCCTGAGCAGTCTCACCTGGGATCCCCACCCACTGTCCATAGGCTGCAGGCACCATTTAAGCTCAGAACTGCTGCCCTTTCCCTTTCTGAGACATGGTGAGGGTGTGCTTGGCTTTAACTCTGCCTCCTTCCTGGATGGGCATTGAACCCACTGTTTACTTTTGTCCTTTATCCTGCTCCTGGCTGGTCTGAGAGCATCCCCTTACTGTGCCTGAGGTTGTCAGTGGACCTGTCTTTTGGCACTCAGCTTGGATGCTGCATGCTCTAGTGAGTGAAAGCCCAGCCTGTGCTAAGGTTGCCCTCAGTGTCCAGCTCTTCTGCTCTCAGCCCCATGGAGCAGCCCTGGTCCCTGGCACAGAAGCCCTCCTGTGTATGCTCAGCAGGTGTTTTACAGGAGATAGAGTGTATGAGCTTCTTTATGAGAGATTTTAACCTCACTGCTTTGAAGCAATCCTAGCACAAAATCTTCTCAGTTTGACTTTTTCTGTAAAAATCAAATTCCTTAATTTCAAAGAACTAGTTTCCAAGTAGGTTATTTTGGGTTTTTTTATGGGAAGCTTAAATGGTGACTGTATGCAACACTAAAGTAGCAACTATAAAAATATGTGTGGAATTCTTCACTTCCAAACATGATGATAAAGAACTTTACAAGTTCTGATAATTTAATGCAAATGAGTCTCCTACTCCTTTCAAACTTACAGGGTAGTTCTACAACATAACTGCCACAATACATTAATGGTAACTTTACCAGCTGCACCTAGTCTTTCTCACCACCTATTTTGCAGCTGTTACTAGGTTGTGTCAGAGTTGTTTTCATCAGTAGTATATCAAAGCAAAGTTTCTAGGGAATAAACTGTAGAGTAAATCAAACAACACATTTTCTTCATATCTATCAGACATTAGGAGACTTTCCTATTATCCTAGAAAGAGTAATACAATCTAAAAAGCTATAAATATTTTTATGCATATTTATATTGAGGAGGTACATTGTACTCTCCTTTAGCAATCAAAAGTTCTGCAGAACTAATTTATTGAACTGTTTACAAATCAACAAATTTTTCTGTCTCATAGCCTGTAAAAATATTAAAGTGTCCAAGTTCAGAACAGACAGCAACTACATTGATCTTAGTTTAAGTTGACTCAGTCAAACAGACGGTGTTCCCTGGGGCGCAGTGTTGGGGCCAGTCCTGCTTTGTATTTTCATCAATGACCTGGATGAGGGATTGAGTCCCCCCTCAGTCAGTTTGCAGGTGGCAAGTTGAATAAGAGTGGTGATCTGCTGGAGGGACAGGAAGACTTCACGGAGGGACCTGGACAGGCTGAATCAATGGGCCAATGCCAACTGAATGAGCTTCAGCAAGGCAAAGTTCTGGGTCCTGTGCTTGGGTCCAAACAACCCAATGCAGTATTACAGGGTTGGGGCAGAGTGTCTGGAAAAATTCCTGACAGAAAAGAACCTGTGGTTGCTGGTTGACAGCTGGTTGAACATGAGCCAGCAGTGTGCCCAGGTGACCAAGAACTCCAATGAATCCTGACCTGTATCAGTACTAGGGACCAGGGAAGTGATTGTTCCCCTGTACTCAGCACTGGTGAGGCTGCACTGTGAGCACTGTGTCCAGTTCTGGGACCCTCACTACAAGAAAGGCATTGAGAAGCTGGAGTGTGTCCAGAGAAGGGCAGGGAAGCTGGGGAAGGGTCTAGAGCACAAGTCCTATGAGGAGCAACTGAGGGAGCTGGGTGTTCTTAGCCTGGAGAAGAGGAGGCTCAGAGGGGACCTTATCGCTCTCTACAACTACAAAATCACAGGATAGGTAAGGTTGGAAGGGTCAGCTGGTGGTGTCATCTGGTCCAAGCTCCCTGCTCAAGCAAGGTCATCCTGCTTGAGAATTGTGCTACAGAATTGTGTCCAGATGGTTCTTGAATATCTATAAGGGAAACTCCACAACCTCTCTGGGCAATCTGTTCCAGTGTGCAGTCACCTGCACAGTAAAAAAGTTCTTCCTCGTAGTCAGGTGGAAGTTCCCGTGCATCAGTTCCTGCCTGTTGTCTTTTGTCCTATTGCTTGGCACCACTGAGAAGAGCCTGGCATCGCCCTCTTGACACCCTCACTTCAGATACTTATAGACACTGATGAGGTCCCCTCTCAGTTGTCTCTTCTTGAGGCTGAACAGCTCACTCAGCCTTTTTTCGTAACAGACATGCTCCAGTCCCTCAGTCATCATTGTTGCCCTCTGCTGGATCCACTCCAGGAGCTCCATGTCTGTCTTGTACTGAGGAGCCCAGAAGTGAACACAACACTGCAGATGTGGCCTCACCAGGGCTGAGTGAAGGGACAGGATCACCTCTCTTGACCTGCTGGCAATGCTCTTCCTAGTGCACTCTAGGATACCATTGGCCTTCTTGGCCACAAGGGCACACTGCTGGCTAATGAAGAGCCTGTTGTCCACCAAGACCTCCATGTTCTTCTCTGCAGAGCTGCTTTCCAGCAGGTCAGCTCCCAGTCTGTACTGGTAACTGGGGTTATTCTTCCCCAGGTGCAGGATCCTACATTTGCCTTTGCTGAACTTTAGACAGTTCTTTTCCACCCACCTCTCTAACCTGTGCAGGCCCATCTGAAGGGCTGCACAGCAGACTGCGGTATCAGACTTTGTGGTATCACTCCTCCCAGCTTTGTGTGATCAGCAAACTTGCTGAAAGAATGTTGTAGCAAGATGGTTGTCAGTCCCTTCTCCCAGGCAACAAGAAATAGGACAAGAGGAAATGGCCTCAAGTTGTGCCAAGGGAGGTTTGGACTCAATATTAGAAAAATATTTTTCACTGAAAGGCTTGTCAAGCACTGGAACCAGCTTCCCAGAGAAGTGGTGGAGTCACAATCCCTAAGTGTTTAAAAGACATGTCGATGTGGTACTTGGGGACATGATTTAGTGGTGGACTTGATTGATCTTAAAAGTCTTCTCCAACCTAAATGATTCTGTGATTCTAAACTCGTAACCCAGGACCGAATGTAGTACTCTTCCAAAGGCTAAAAAAAAAAAAAGGACCCTGTCGAGTGTTTGATCAATTATAGAAATTATAAACAAAGCCCAGTTGTAGGTATTTATAGAATTACTGATTTTCTTGACATCTTATGAGCAATGTCAGTGGAGAATCTAGTTTTCAGTCAGAGGAACCACACTCATAGGTATGGACACTTTGTCCTTCTGCACTACCCCACACACACCTAGTGAGCGTAGCCTGCCCGTGTTTTCTAAAGCATGAAATGTTAGGAAGTGCAGGAAAAAAGAAAGGCAGTTCCCATGTAGCTGCTGGCTCATGTCATCCCCAGGAGTTAGAAGATTCTTCTGTCCATGCCTAAGAGGGTGTAAAGATTTACCCTCGTACTCACAGCTCGGATCATGAAACTGTTCTCCAAAACTGACTTGATTTGGTTTTCCCCTCTGAGGCTTCAAATTACAAAATCTTGAAATTTAAACCTTTTAAAATATTAATTTGAACAAAGTCATAGACCTTCAGATAGAGGTGGATGGATTTTTCTCCCTATGCAATTACAGTGCAAATAACGCGGAACTCTCTTCCAAGCTACCGGTGAGAAAGTCACCTTTGGGCTGAGATCAAGCTGAAAATAACTTCGGAGACAGCAATGGACAAACTGAAACCCCAGGCTATACTGGGAAATGGTTTTAGCACATTTCGTTACATGGTGTATGCTGCTGGAGAAATTGATGTATGAAGTGTCAATTTTGAGATATTTGGGAGGTGCAGATGGAGAGGTACATTTCACAAAGGCCACAAATCATACTTTTCATCATATTTTATTTATGTGATGTATTCTCTACATATACCCATTCATATCAGTGTTAGGTAAAGTTACAAAATTTCAATTTTATGCCAAAGTAGCCATCTACAGCCATTCACTGGTGAATTGATATTAGCAATTGTAATAGGATTGAAGAGTAATTTTGTGCAGGATTTTTGATATTTAAAAGGACAGATATGCACAATTTAACTACCTACACTGCATAAGAGGTATTCTTTTTCAAATGAATCATGAAAATAGTATTAGGATTTGTATATTGTGCACTGCTTTATACTGAAAAATATTAAAGCAAATTTTCTAAAGAAATGTTGGATATAGCCTTCTGTATATGCCCAGGGGACAGAGCTCTTCAGATTAATTCATCAGACTTCTATGCAGAACAGTAATTCTTAAAAAATATTAAGAAAAGTACATAGATCATGACTTGAAATTAGTCTGAACTTCAAGAAAGGGTACTGCTTCTTTAGGGGCTAACAAACACCATCTTAACTAAACCAGGCAAATTCTCCACTGCTTTCAAGCTACTGTGGATGTAGTAGAAAATGTAGGAGATAATGCGAGTCCTGTTAAAGAACTGGTTAAACCTACCCAGCTCTCTGACTCAACCAGGCAGCAAGTAGGACGTGTAGCAAAGAGGATCTGTAAATTGTGCACTCTCGTCTGCTCAAGTGGTAATCATATTCCAGCTGGCTACAGACGAAGTGCAGAGTCATGTTCCAAATTCCAAGGGAAAAAAGTAGTTTAAAACACCTCCATAGTTTCCTTTTAACATTTGCTTTTGTCATAGCTTTCTGCTGGTCTTGTATATCTCATTCTTAGTTGGTCCATACATTATATATGAAACCTGAGTGTTTACCAGGAGGCTTTGGGTTCCAGAAGGCAATAGGTGCCTAAATGTCAAGTGAATGCTTCAGGAAAAACCTACAATTTCAGTGGTGCACTCTCTTGAGGACTCTGCCAAGCTAGAGATCTGTGAAGATAAAACTCGAGTGTAGCTCCCACCTCTACTATGACTTATGAAAGTTACTCCAAAAGACAAACATTCTGCAAAGAATTCAGCCCAAAACCACCACAAGAATTATTTCAGTTTCAGCAACAGCTGCTAAGAAACATCTCACCGAAGTATCTGAAAAAAATTTTCATAGATTAGGGCTTAGGATCAAGTTTTATTTTTAGAATAGGTTGGTGTATTTTTTCCCTACAGTGTTCAGTTCTGATATATGTTATGTTTTTCATTAACTTGGATCAATGAAATATATGTTTTGGGCAACAGCATACTGGAGGTGGAGTCATTTGCTTGGAAAGTGGCCAATGCTTACAAAAGAAAACCTTTATCTTTCTACATTTAAACTGATGAATGCTGATGCAGCACTTCTACTGTGTGAACAGCTGTCCTGGTTAGAACGGCTGGGACCAATTCATCCCTGGATGGGTGTAACCCAAAACTGTGTATTCTATAGCCTCCATGCCATTTCCCAAAAACTGCTGTCAGTAGAGGCCTGCAAGGTGGGAAGATGTTCCTGTACCCTTTTATGGAATTCCCCGCTCTGATATCCTTATATGGAATTCCCCGCTCTGATAAGAGGGACTGAGCATCCACATGCCCCTTTATGGAATTCCCTATTCTGAGGGAGGGACTGAGCACTCCCGCCTGAACTGGAGAGTATATAACTGGGAGTTTCAGAGCCTTGGGGCTCTCTCTCGTGGGACCCAGAGGAAGACAGCAGACCACCGCTGCTCCCAACCAGGCTGAGACCACCACCCTCGACTGGACTGCAATCACCACTTCTGACCAGACTGCAGCAGCTCTCCCACCAGCAGGTTTATTCCCTCTCCCTTTGCTTTGGACTCGGGGGGG